TGGAAAACCCCCCCAAGGGTTGTGTGTCAAGCCCAAGGGCAAAGTGCGACTGACTGACCGATTGACTGATTTCCCACCTTTCTCTCCACTGAAGGCAGCATACAACAGTTAAAAAAGTGTGCATATATTTAAAATAACAATAAATTAAAATATTAATATTAAAATATGATTTCACTTATATCATTATTAAAATATAACTAGTTTAAAATAAATAAAAACAAACGTAAAACATGTGATCAAATCATAAGCTAGTTTATTTATTTATTTATTTATTTATTTAAACATTTTCACCTTCCAGTGGAAGGACAGTAAGGAGGTGGCAATCTAGTGTCATGTGGGAGGGAATTCCACAGTCAGGGCGCAGCCACCAAAAATGCTCTCCCTTAAGGCCTCACAAAAAAATGACTTCCTTGGCCATGGAACCAAGAGAAGGCCCTTCCCTGAGGATCTCAGATACCTTTCCAGAGTGGGAATTATATGGGTAGATACAATCCTTCAAATAGCCTGAACCCAAACTATGTATAGATCATTACTAGCACTCTGAATTGGACTGAGAAATGGTTTGGAAGCCAGTTGTTATATAGCAAGGCAGTTATATGGTTCCTGTAACTGGCTCCAGTCAGCAGTCTGGCTGCTTACGAGGGGTTCTTCTGCTGCAAAAGGTTGCAGCCTTCTGCTTGAAATTAAAGTTTAGATGGAACGGAGCCTCTCTCAAGTTGGACAACCTATCTCAAAGAAGGCAGACTGTCCAGGAAGGGCTTCAGCTTGACATTTCAAGGGTCAGAGTGAATGCCACTGAAGTCCTTCATTACTAGTAAATCTGCTTTCAGGAGAGCAGGCAGTGTTCTTCAAATGCTACAGTGAATTGTTTTAACAAGGGACTAGTTTGCCAAAATGAAAACAAGAAATGAAACATGAAGCAGCAACTCAACTTGAAAAATAATGAACCAGTCAATATTAAGGCACTTTCAGACGTAAACATTCCCCGATTGCTGAACCAGCATGCATGTCAGGAAAGAACATCAAACCTACATGCTTTCTCTCTCGTGTACCAGATCCGATGAACCAATCTTGATTACATTCAAAATGGCAGTCCTGATAATTTACTATATAGGAATTCACACCACGTGTCAGCTATAGCTTAAGATTTTTTTAGTAAACAGACCAACTCCCATTTGGGAATAACAGAACTAGAGCCTGTGTAGTATAGTAAACAGTGTGTCAGACTGGGACTCAGGAGATCCAGGTTCAAGTATACACTGAAATCATGGAAACTCACTGGGAACTGGCAATGGTAAAAAAATACCTAAACATTTCCCTTATTTTTGAAATCCCACTAGGGTTGCCACAAATTGGAATTGATTTGATGGTATATAATACACACAATAATTTAAGACGACCAGGATTTGTGTTCCAAAGCTGGGGTACAGACAAGAGGCAAGCAAATAGACTCGTTGCTTATTCTTTGCATGCTAAACTATGATTAGGCTTCAGTGATCAGCATTCTGTATGGAATGCTAACATTCCAGCATACATTGTAAATATGAAAACTATGAGTGATGAACTACCGGTAGCAGAACTAGATGGCAGTTAAACTGACTCTCCACCAGATCGTTCTGCTAGTTTTTTTTTTTTTAATGAAAGAGCTTGCAAAACTGACAGAAAACTATAAAGGACCTGTTTACTAGATGATCCCCAGAGTGTTAGCAAGGTAATGCAATCAAATAGAAATACTGCTTGCTGGGTAAAAAAGGCAATCATTTCAGTGATTTCTGTGGTATGGGCAGTGGGTATGGCATGTACAGTGAATTTCCCTTTGAAAGATCTTTTTTGTCAATATCTGACATACTTTATATATTGATTTTGAAGCTTAACACTAAGGTAAATTATTCATTTTATGTATTAAAAACAATTCCCTCTGAAGGACCACACAGCTTGTTTTCTTTTCTCTCTCTAATTACCTCCTTTGGTAGGTAGGTAGGTAGGTAGGTAGGTAGGTAGGTAGGTAGGTAGGTAGGTAGGTAGGTAGGTAGGTAGGTAGGTAGGTAGGTAGGTAGGTAGGTAGGTAGGTAGGTAGGTAGGTATTGTCCCACTGAGTAGAAACCACTGCTCTGGGCAGTTTTACAATATAACATAAACCCTATCCCTATCCCCCTTCATCCCCCCAAGAACAAAAATAATAAATGAAAACAGTGAGATAAACATACTAAAATATTAAATAGCAGCGACAAACCTTAGGTGAGAGACTGCATAAAATAGGTTTCACTTTTGGCTACAAATCCTACTACTACTAATTTAAAAAAGCTACTAAGCCTACTGTTTTCTCCATGAATTTTCAACACAATGCAATTTATGCCATGTTTCCTTGTCAGAACAATGCAGTCTCTTTTCAACAAAATGAGGTGCTCACCTTTTCCAGAGGTGCTAATTGCTGCTTAAGTTCTTCTAGCCGCCAAATTAGTTCCTTTTCCTTATTCAGCTGGTGTTCTTCAATACACAATGTGGTATACAGTTGCTGAACCAATGTCTTCACATCATTCAGCGTGGTTGCATCTTCGTGACTTAAGAGATCTAAAGAAGAAGGAGGACCTTTCAGTGTCTGTTCTGTTCTTTGTAGCTGTTATTCTTCCGACAGTTGATTAAACTAAAATGAAAAGCCTATTCCATCTGTATCGAAATTTATAGAACCTAGTATAATACAGCAGATCACTACCGTCATTTCAAGCAAAGGCTTGCTGAAGACTAATGTTTCACATTTAGAGAGAAACAATTAATGTGTAGAACCATTTTCTTTGGAGCGCCTAAACTCAAATACTAATCCAAATGTAAGTGTTAGTACTTTGCTTGTACTTGCATCTCCTATGATAAGTATCTATGAATAGTTACAATTCTAAACATTCTGTTGGGGATGAGTTCAATCACTAGTTACAGAGACAAGGAGGGCCAGAACCTTACTGTATCTTTTCAGAATCTGAACTTCGCTACTAGGCTGAACCTTCATACTGCATTCTTCTTTGCTGCCCCTTGTCTCTGAGCCAATCCTACAGCTGCATGGATAAAAGCAGAGACGTTCAGTCGCCTGAGACCATCCTGGTTTATGAATAAGAGGCCCAGGAAGAAAAAAAAATGCAATAGGCAAAATGGTGAGGCCTAGAGATGCCAGTGCTTACTACTCAAGCATTCATGTTGGTTTGAGATGTGGCTGCTTAATCTGAATCAATTTAATGCAGCTACAGCAGATTGCCAGTAGTGCTTTATGCAAGTACATATTAGCATAACCAACTGGAAAGAAATATTGCAATATCTGATAGAGGATGCACTTACAAGTCAGTGTTTAAAAAGGAAGCAAAGCTAACTCATGACTGGTAATGTTTCACATTCCATGCAACATTTAAATAACCATTTCATTTCAGTATATTACCATGTACAATCTTGTCAGTAGTAAATCACAACAATATTGTTAAAAGTTATTATGACTAAGGTAAACTCTTTGCTAGGTTGCTACCTTAAATCAAGGTATTACAGATAATGTCAAGACAATGCAAACTAAAATATATAGAACCTTGCATGCAGTACATTTCAGCACACAATCTTCAGGCTTAGCTTGCCTTTGTTAAGTCTCAGTGAAATCTACAAAACAAGCCAAGTTTGACAGAAATCAGTTCAGCAGTTATACAACAATCAGCAATGCTCACAGATGGAGAAAGCACAACATTTGAACCACAGCAATATCTACAAGCTATTCTTCCATACCAAGACAGAAGAGAAAGTTGAGGTTTTTAATGAAGCATCAAGTGTCTTCATATGTTAGAATATCAAAGAACCATCTTATACTATAGATTAAATCATGCACAGATAAAAAGTGATGGAACGGATAGACCTTTTCTTTCCTGAATCAGGTAGTAGCAGACATCTTAGGAAACATCTGAAGTTGAGATTTCCATGCCAGCAACCTAGCACTACTGTTGTTCTCACAATACTTAGTACCCTGAAGGAAAAAGCCAAAGAACACGTATGGTTCTACAGGGCCTACTTATGGCTTAAAGGCAGCCAGAACAGAAACCAAACTAAACAACTTAACTTTCCTTTGTTCTGAGAAAGCTTTCATGCCCAGATTTAAACACATATAAGCTCCAGACTGTGTTTCTTTATTAGATCATGATTTGTGTATTTGTAATGTAAGTGCTCTGATTATGTTCACTTATTAGAGGTATTATGAAAAGTGCTTCCATTCACAAGGCAAGAGATGGACGTAAACTTTAAAGAACTAGATGAGAGCTTGAAAGTGCCCTCATAGTGTGTATACTTTTACTTTCGCGGTCCTTTTTAAAATTGTGAACTTGTTCTCTGGTCCTACATATAAGTCAGCATTACAGTGGTGCCTCGCTTAACGAGCGCACCGTACAACGACGAAATCGCATAGCGATCCCTTTTTTGGGATCGCTAATACAATCGCTCAACGTTTTTTAAATAAGGCAAAATTCGCTTTGCGAAGACCGGTAAGCATTTCGCTCATCGATCTTCGCAAAACGAAGCCCGACGATCAGCTGTTCGGCGGCCAAAATGGCCGCCAGAAGCCCGGAAATGGCCCAAAATGGCCGCGCACAGCGTTTTCGCGCCCTCGTTAAGCGAGGGGAGGGCGCGAAAATGGCTGCCGGCCATTAAGAAGCATCGCTGAACGGTGAGTATTCGGCCCATTTGGAACGCATTAAACATGGTTTAATGGAATTCCCTGCCCCGTTCGACGATGCTTCAGCATAGCGAAGGTTAATCCGGAACGGATTAACCTTGCTGTGCGAGGCACCACTGTACTTTCAACTGTATATAGATGACTCCATTTCAGAGGAGGCAAAGGAATTCATTTTGATTATGCCAATGATTAAGCTAAGTGAATGCCAGTGGACACTGCCACTTCTGCTTCTCCTTCCAGTGCCTGAATGTGTGGTTTTCCTTTGCTTTTGGAATTTATATGTATTCCTATCCCCCAGTAATGACATTCTGGGGGCATTCCCACCACAACAGTACAATTGAATCTGGCTTTTGTCCTTGTTTCTCAAATTTTCTGATTCTCTTCCAAAATGCATTCTAGCTTCTGCTCCCTCCAACCATGGTATCTAAGAGGAGAACATGAAGAGATCCTTGAATATAGATCTGAGCACACTACCAGTCTGTGGCTGTCATACAAAGAGATACGAAATTTGCTGTAAGGAAGCTCTGTGGATAACCTTGGGGGAGCCACAATTTCTTAGTTTGAACTATACCACATGGCTATTGTGAGAATAATGCATGGGAGAGCTGTGGATACTTCTAACTCATTAGAGGAAATATGAGATAAAATTTAAATAATAAATTAGGCTCTGTCACAAGAGGAAAATGTTCTCTAGTTATCTCAAGTTTGTTGGGGGGGGTTCTGGTCACATGACACACTTTCAAGATCGAGACATTTTCCTGGCAACTGGTGTAACTGCAGAACACTTCCCCATCACCAGGACAGTTGTTATTTTGTACCTTTGTTATATTGGTGCATTCCTTGCCTGTGTGCACAACCTGCCCTGCTTCTTTTCAGAATCAAAGCCTGGAAGGGGGCCGCCATTACTGCGGCGTGCATATTAATTTTTTTAGTTTTTTCATGCCCAGTACATCAATATGTTGGTAAAAGCATGTCATTGGGGGGACGCCACCATTACATTAGATATTTTTAATTTATATGGGAAGATACATTGAACTGTTGATATGCCAATGTCACCAGTGGTGTGTGTCTGTGTGTGTGATTGCCAGCACTACTGGAAGGATATCCCATGTCCATTGTGTGCAATACATTTCTGCAGGAGCAACCAGTGCAACAGAGAACACTTTTCTAAACAGAAACCTCTTCCCACTCCATGTTCCCTCTAATTTTAAGCCCTGTTGGGCAGAGCTCCATGATCCCACATGCAAGTCTGCCTCCCTCACATGGTGTTCCGTTTGTGACCTGGATGAAAGGTCTGTCTGTCTATCTATCTATGGGATAAACTGTCCCTTGAAACAATATGAAAACAGCATGGTGTAGCTAGCCATAATTATTCAAATAGGAGGAACTACATCGGTGCCACTAAAAGTTCTTGGGACGTTCCTCCTGGGATATAAACCACGTGACAATCATTCAGTACAACAGAGGTATGGAAAGTATCAGAAGAACTAGAGAACATTTCTTCTGTGTGACCAGGACCTTAACTAAGATCTTTGTTTACATTTGAATTAAATATTTACCAGGATGTCTTAGATCGTCTTCTAATATATGTGAAGATTCTCAGTCATCCAGGTGAGGTTATATAGAAGTTGAGTCATGGCAGCTGGACTTCTTTCTTATTAGGTTAAACCTACTCATTCAAGTAGCTTCTTCAGAATGAAGAAGCTACTTGAACGAGTAGTGAAATGTTTCAACCTAATAAGAAGTCCAGTTGCCCTGACTCAACTTCCAGATCCTCTTCTAACGGGATGCACAAATGTCACAAATAAGCGCCAGCTCTTCTTCAAAACTTCCAAAATGATTTTGGGATGATGGAGTGACAGGAATGTATTCCTTCCTACAATTCTAAGCTACACTCAAATAAGAGAGGATCTGCTGTTTTGAATTTGAGACATACATACAAAAAGAGGTCAAATGCCTTTCTCCACGGTATCAAAGGCACAGAAAGAGTTGTCTAGTAGTTGGAGGCTATACCCATATGTGGAAACTCCCCTGAACAGGGCCTAAAAGATCATAATCCCTTGAGGAAACAGATAGTGCTGTCCAGAGGAAGCTCACGTCTCCATACAATGATCTTTGAAATAGTGGCCAACAGGGCACCATTAAAAAAAATAAACAAAAGAAGAAGCAACAAAACAACAGAGAAGAAGTCGAGTACGAAAGGTAATTAAGAACAACTCAAATTCGTCAGAATACAAAGAACAGTCCAAAGCAATGAATTTGCTGCAGCACATAATGAAAAACTGAGTGGAAAAGAAGGAATAATATTCTAAGCATGCAGACTGACAAAAGGGGTGGAGCTTCCTGCCTTGAAGTTCTTCAACTCTAAAATGGTCTGACCAAAGTCTTGTGCAGGAATGGAATCCATATGGGTGAAGCACAGAGACCGTGGAGAAGAATAATGGATTAGAAGTCACAATGTCAATTTCAAGGCAGCAGGAGAGGGTGCCTTTCAAAGCTTTAGGGAACAAAATGAGATTGGCCCAAATTTCCCTTATGCAGCACAACAAAATGTGCTCTATAAATCCAAGAAAAAGGTTTATGAGCATTGCTAGTCACTGACATGAATTTAACAGAATCAGTATACCATCACTGTTTGAAGAATATGTTTGATCAAGGTTTGGGAACTAGCCATAGTGGTTTTAACATTAGTGATACATGGGAGAGTGTTTTTCGATCAAACTTGCTCACTTGGCCAATTACTATTGGTGTTGTACTACCTCCAATATCTACTTCTCTAAAGGAGCATATAAACATCCAACATTTGTGGTAATCACTAGTGGTAATACAACTACTGTTCATTACATGGAGAATACGCAACATTCATCCACTAAATACTATCACAATCCTCTGTACTCTTTTCTTTCCACTAGAGATGTTCACATATATGAGGTCAATTATGTATGCTTTGTTCTGAAAATTATGTGTATATTTAGCTTAATATATTAATATGATTTTTATATTATGTCATTCTGATCTTACTGTATTTTATTAAGTTTAAAACTATACAGTACAAAGTGAAAATTGGAAATGTTCGTTTAAGTTATTTTATTACACAATTATACAAATACAATCTTGGCACAGGAGAAGATTCATATATTATAAATGAATATAGGCAATGAGACTTCTTCCATCAAACTTTTTTGTTTGTTTGTTTTTCTGGGCTGAAGATGCAACATACACATGAGTATAAGGCACATTTTCGGTTTCTTTTACAAGATCTAATTTACAGATTTTTTTTGGCATGGAAAACTATATCTTTGCAGAGAAACAATGTAAGAAGCAGCCCTAAAAGGCTACTTGACAATTTCCTATGAGCCTTTGGAGTACTGGGCATGGCAATCCATCTTTCATTAAGAGCTATATGTACATATAAATGATAACTGCCTGAATTCAAGGATACCAGTCTGAAATGGCCAACTTTTTCTTTCATCACAAAAACAAAACAAAGCAAAACAGCAAGACAGAGCACATGCAATTGTAATGCTGAAAATAAACAAGCTAGGAGAGGAACCGGTTTCAAGCAATCATTCTGATTATGTTGCATTCCTTCTGCAGCTATTTGAAACCATATTTACAACAGTGGGGATGAAACATGTCCAAAGAACATTCACATTCTAAGATATTCAAGCAGAAGCAACTTGGGTACCCCTACTTAAACATTATGGTAGTGAGGGAATGACAGATAGGAGAGCAAGCAATTAAGGAAAAAGTGTTTATAAATGTTTGAACCAGTCCTAGACTTAACTGTTCACTTTTTAAAAACAAACAAATGAACACACTTTATCTATGGTAAAGTTTATAAATCAGGGTCATTTTTAAAACAGAAACTCTTTCCACTGCAGTCAACAACTGTCTTTGCCTCGTCAGTGTAGTCAGCTATAAGGTAATTTGCAACACCTTATTTTCATCACCATCTTCAATGTGATTTTGGCTTTCTTTATTATGACACAGAACGCTTCTCCCATTATTTGTCAGTGCAAGTATTTTTCACTGTCACTTTGATAACCCAAGACATTTTAAAATCTCATACACTCATTTCAACAGCAAAAGCAAGCTTTCAGAGTTCCCAACAAAGTGAAGAATACTTGATCAGACTACTCCCAGGCAAAATTCAAATCTTGGACTTCAGCAGATAGTAGGCGGAGGTTCATATTATAACTTTTATCATTGTGTTGTAGTATATAAAGTCCCAATCGATATCATGGTGACCATGTTGTGGACAGTAACAAAATCTTAAGGTTTTTTTGCCCTAGTGATCATGTGTTGCAATTGACTTCTAGAAGTTTCTGCTTATTACAACCTACATGTGCACAGCATCCTGGGCCATATTCCACCTCATTCCCGAGGACTAGAAAACATTGGGTCTTGCTCTATGACAGGAAGCCATGCAGCTCATCAAGTCCAAGCTTATGTGCATCCTAAGCACTGTCTCTTCCTAAATGATGCCTAACAATATAACTATATGCTTTCTTGTACCTACAATAACGTAACAGAAAGTTAATGTTTCTGTGACAATAAATCCAATATTTCTACCACATGTTCAATAATACCACACCCATATTTGTGTGATTCCCATGACAAACATTATTTTATGGTAAAATAATACGTACAGTGGGAGATCCCGTCAATATTAACACAAATTATTGAACATAGAAACGGTGACTTGATTTCATATTCTAGCATATTCTTTCATGGAGACTTGACTTCATATTTTAGCAATACCCTGAATAGATATTCTTTGAAACTTTTCATATCTGTAGCTATAGCAGCTAAAGATAGCATGATTTGTTCAAAATTCTGAATGCGTATATTTGTAGATGAACCATCAACTTGTTATTTCCCACCATAAATGAAATTATTATTTTTTAACTGCTAGATGGATAGTCCAGATAACGACTTCTGGAAATAGATCCCAGTTACTTGAATTTGTTACCTCTCTTTGGTGGGCGAACATGGTAAGTCAAGTCATTAATTACTAGTTTGAAATCATCAAGGAGTAGAAGATCTATGCCTGTTGAAGAGGCTACACGTGTTCCATCTGTAAGATAAAAGAGAAATAGATGTTATTAAGAGTTAGATATGTCTTACATGAATATTTAAGACAAGAAAAAGCTAGTACAATTCTAGTCTGCGTCAACAGAATTATAGTGTTCAAATCAATATATGTATTACTCTGTTTTGCTTTTGTTTAGATCTCATCAGGAGTACTGTGTCTATTTCTGGACATCACAATTTAAGAAGGATATGGAGAAGATGAAACACTTCCACAGGAGAGTAACCAAATTGGTAGATTATGGAAACCAAGCTCTGCAAGTAATGGTTGAGGGAGTTGGTTAAGAGCCTATAGGAGAGAAGACTGACAGGCTATATGATAATCAACTTCAAATATGTGAAATGGTCCCACATGAAAACGAAGCAAACTTGTTTTCTGCTGCTCCACAGTGTACAACATGAGCCAGTAGATTCAAATTACAATAAAGGAGGATTTTGTCTAAACACAAAGAGGATTGTAAGAGCTGTTTATCAGTGTTCTCCTTGGAAAAAGAGTGGTTACTTACCTGTAACTATGGTTCTTCTAGTGGTCATCTGTGAATCCACACAACTGGGTATAAACTGCTCTTGCGCTGGTTCCTCAAAATATTCTAGAGCTTGGAAGCCAGCAGTACCCGGTGAACAGCTCCGGGGAAAAACTGGAACCGCCCGGCCTGCCGTCCCTCTAGAAAGGGGGGAACGGAAGGGGGGGCCAGGAGAGGTACCCCCAAGCAGATGGTGAGCCCAGAAGGTAGAAGATTTGGCAGCAACCGGGTCTTTTTTCCCTCTGAAAATTCACCCATGCACAGACCGGAGATGGGAGCCATATCTTATGGCGGAAAGCTGTGAGAAAACTCCACCCCCAACTTCCCGAGGAAGTACAACAGAACAACAGCAAAGTAAGCCTTTGATTTATGAATAACCTCATTAATATATTGAAGAAACTAATGTCAAAATACCTGACCAAAAGGAGATAGGAAGCGGCGAACCAGCATGCCAGCTTGTTTTTTTTTCCCCTCAAAGCGAACTGTCTGATAAATAGCAAGTGTATACAGTAATTAGCAAGCTGGCCAAGGTCATTTCACTGAGAGAAAAATTTTGTGTTTCTGGAAAAGAATCCCAGAGGAAATATCACTCAACAGGGACTGAAATCTTGTCAATGCTGTGCAATCTGGACTTTCCTTACTAGCTGAGTGGACTTTGAAAATAAAGAAGCAGGAGGCACAGGCTTTTGAGTGGGAGAAGCCAGTCAAATGGGACTTTGATAACAGAAGCGTCTTTGGTTTTGGAAGGAAGAATAAGCCCTGGGAAACGGACAGTAAACTATTAGCTCATCAGTGAGAGGAACTCAACAGAACAGACGGAGGACCGAAGAAAATTAGATCTGGAGTTATTACAGGACTACGACGGCTTTTCTTTTTAGAAGAGACTGGTCCCCTGTTTGATGCTTACATTGGACCCTCCTTTGGCTGGACTGTGTGGATTCTGAGAATACTGTTATAATTTCTGGGCAAGGAGGGGGAGGACATACCTAGTGGGAATGTTGCCAGACAAAGAATGGCTGGTTATCATGCGAATGACAATAATAGGATTTCAGCAGATAAATCAGAAACTTAGACAGATAGAAGGCCTGATGAAGGGGAAACCATCAGAGGCTAAACAGCAACTGAATGAAATTGAAACTCCAGAACAGTTTGTATTGAGAGAGATGCCAGGTAACATGGTAGGTAACATAGATGGGACTAGAAGTTATCACGTGGGATACCCAGTTATACTAGTCAGAAAAGGTGATTTCAAAAGCCATACTACTGTCCTGGATTTAATCTTATCTCCCCAAAATGGGAAGAAAATAGAGGCACAGAAACAAGAGAAAGGTACTGAGAAAATATGGGAAGTGCCAGAAATGGACAGCTTTCCAGACAGGCTGATATGTCCAAGATAAAAGGAAAATGAAAGAGGGGATGTATTTTATAATTGTCTCGATTTCTTGATAGAGTTGGAATAACTTAGACTTAAATCAAAATATGAATATAAGCTGATATTTAAGCTGATATTTAGAGGATAATCAAATAGTATATATATATATAAAGAATACAAAGATTTTTTTGTACTGGAAAATGAATGGATCAGAGGCATGCATACTTAATATGAATAGAGTGGATGATTGTATACTCTGTGTTCTCCTATCCTCAAAACCCTTTTCCCTACCCCATTCCTAGTAGTTTAAAAATAATAAATTAAAAAAGAATATTCTAGATCTTAAGATAAAAAAACATAGTAGTACATTGCTCCTATTGCACAGAGCCTCAGTTCCACTTGCCCGCCGTCGATATCGCTTTAAAGCGAAACCAAGTGTGACGGAAAGTGGGGAGGTTCGGCAGGATGTGTGGATTCACAGAGGACCACTAGAAGAACCATAGTTACAAGTACGTAACCACTCTTTCTTCTACATGGCCTCTCTGAATCCACACAACTGGGTGACTGACAAGCTCACTTACCGGAAGGTGGGCTGTCACTCCAGCACCGAAGTAAGGACAGCTCTCCCAAATTTGGCCTCCTTCTTGGCTTGAAGGTCAAGGCGATAATGAGTTATAAAAGTGGAAGGAGTAGACAATGTAGCTGTCCTACAGATGTCAGAAACATCAAAATCTCGCAGTAAGGCCGTAGATGTTGCCACAGACCTGGTGGAGTGAGCCTTAAGAGTATCTGGTGGTGTTTTGCCAAATAGCTCATAAGCCATGGTAATTGTAGATGTGATCCAATGAGAAACAGTTTGTGAGGACACAGCAGAACCTTTATTAGGACTATAGAAACAAAGGAATAGCTTGGGCGAAACACAGAAATCTCTAGTTCTTGAGGTGTAAAAGGCCAACGTGCGGCATGCACTCGACATCTGATGAAGGGTTAGGGAATAACGTGGGAAGAATCAACGGCTGGTTTACATGGAAACCTGAGATAACTTTAGGAAGAAATGAGACATCTGGATACAGAACTACTTTATCCGGAGAAAACTGGAGATAGGGCATGTCGGCTCTAAGCGCAGTGAGCTCACTAGTCAGCCTAGCTGAGGTTATCATAACCAAAAATAATGTCTTGAATGACAAAAGTCGCAGATCAAAAGAGACTATCGGCTCAAACCGTGGTCGTGAGACAGCGTGCAAAACAACGCTCAAAGACCATTGAGGAGGAGGACAACTAGGTGGATGGATATGCTACAAACCATTGAAAAACATTTTCAAGGTTGGCATTTTCAAGGGAGGCATCAGAGTCCAAAGGTTGGTAAGAAACAATAGCTGAAATATAGACCTTGATGATAGAAAAGGCCAGATTTTGGTCAAAGAGGTAATATAAGTATGACAGCAGAGTTTCAGGAGACACAGGTATAGGGCATAAGTTTCTTGATTTCGTGAATCTTAGGAAGTTATTCCACTTGTATTTCTATAAAAGCTTTGTGGATGGTTTCCTGGCTTTCTCCAACACTTCTTTAATCATGGGAGAATCCTCCACGCTCTGAGATTTAGGGAGTCCACATCTGGGTGGCAGATCTTGCCTGCATTCTGTGTTAATAGGTGTGGCAATTTCGGAAGCCTGATGAACTGTGCTGCCATTAGTTTGAGAGTGGTAAACCAAGGCTGTCATGGCCACCATGGTGTGATCGAGATGGCGTTTGCATGAACCTGATTGACTTTGATGAGGGTTCTTTGGATCAGAGTAATGGGGGGAACAGATAAAGAAGACAGTTCATCCATTCCACCATGAAGGCATTCCCGAGCGACACCCTGTCCATTCCTGCCCGAGAGCGAAACATGCCGCATTTGGTGTTGACACGATTGGCAAACATGTCTACCTCCAGAAACCCCCATCTCTCGCAGATTGCAGTGAAAACAGCATCATCTAGTTGTCACTTGTGCGTCTGAAACTCTAATCAACTGAGTACATCTGCCAGTTTGTTGTCACCCGTCGATATGTGGATGGCCACAGGGAAGATGTGATGAGCATAGCACCACTCCCATAGATGTACTGTTAAATACAGAAGCGACGTTGAGTGGGTGCCTCCTTGTTTGTTTCTATAAAACATCACCATGGTGTTGTTGGTTACTACTTGGACACCACGACCTATCAGAAGAGGGCGAAACACACGAAAGGCCTTCATGACCACCCACATCTCTAGATGGTTTATATGCAAGTATCTCTCCTTCATGGACCACAAGGCATGGATTCTGTGAGGGCTGCAGTGTGCCTCCCAACCCATGGGGTTTGCATTTGATGTCACTTGTATTGTGAGCTCCAATGGGCAGAATGGGCACCCCATTAATAGATTCGTCCTGGATGACCACCATTCCAGCTGTTCTGCTAACTTGGGTGTGACTTGGAAACGTATGGATGGATGGTCTACCATGGCATTGAACTGAGCAAGATACCAGGCTTGGAGGGACCGCATTTTTAGTCTGGAATGAGAGAGGGCAGATGTCGTTGGAGCCATCAGGGCCCAAAAGATGCTGTATGTGATAAACTGAGATTCTGGCGTGTGGACGAAAGGGACATACAGCCTGTTGTATTTTTCTGACATGTTCCGGTGGGAGAAAGACTCTTGCCTTGATGGAATCTAGACACGCCCCTATGTAGTCTATGACTTGGGTAGGTTGAAGGTGAGATTTGTCTTTGTTGATGGTAAGACCAAGACTTGTCAAGGTCTGAAGAACAAACTTGGTGTCTAGCCGAGCTTTGCGTTGAGAGGCAGCTACTACCAGCCAATCGTCGATATATGGAAATATGGTGATGTCGTGAAGCCGAAGGTAGGCCGCTATCGGTGCCATGCACTTTGTAAACGTTCTTGGGGCTGTAGACAAACCAAAAGGGTACTGTAAAATAACTGAAGTAAAACCCCCTGGGTATGTCGTGGCGAGGCACTTGTTGGATTGCTTCTTTTTCTAATAACGACGAAATTTCTTCTTGAAGAGTCTCTGTATAGGGAGTAACTTTTATGTGACCAACTGGAGGAAGCTC